GTTACTACTACTATCTGCATTCTGAATTGGTTCTGTATCTTTCTTTCCTATACTTCAAACTTTAAGAATCCTTTAGTGCATTCTGTGCTCCAACAGTCCAACATAAATCCTCCAAAATGGTGCAGAAAGACTCCCTTTCTGTATCTGTAAGTTTGTTGCATATATTTCCACCGGCTCATTAAAGACTCTCGAGTAGTAAAGAAGTCTAACCACCCAACCTAAACTCAAAATCTAAGCAAACCTATCTACCTTCTCTCTCTCACAAATTCAATAAAAGCACAATGGTCTGCAACCACCATCTTCCACCCTTTACCTCTCTCTCTCTCTCTCACAGGAAGATGAGGGAAGACCTATGGCAGTGGCAGCCGCAACAAGGACATTTTGTCTCTGCCATGCCTGTGGAGTAAATTTCTCCACAGTTCTATGTATTACTAGTCTCTCTTAGTGTCTGGTTGATCTGCCCTTTGCTCATACAACCAGAGGTACGGTACTGGTTTTTGGTTTAACTCTTCCGACAACATTTGAAATTTTGGTTGATCATTTCTTGAACAAATCAATGACTACTTAGTTATGCAACAGAACACTTCTGTGAAACTACAGTAATCTCAATCCTTACAATGACAATTTGATTTGCAGGGAGGCACTGATACCATGATGTATTCAGAAACCGTTGTCGGATTATCGTGATCATCAGATAAGTGACTACTGCCAATTATGGAAATCCCCAAGCACTAACTTTTTAGCATCAGCATATGTCATAGAGAGTGTCAGAACTGATGGTTATTTGAATTGATGACTCTTAGGGATGATAAGAACTTGTGTTACTTTGTTTTAACAAACATGGCTTCAATTTATCTCCTACTTCTCCTGTGACTCCTATACCTTTTCCTGGGGGTCTCTATGCACCCAATAGCATCTATAAAATTAGGTAGAAGTCTCTTTTACTTCAGAATAAAAGTAAGCATGCCCATGATCAAATGTTCTCGGTTTTGTAGGTATTCATATATTTCTTTGCACCTCACTCCGATCGATTAGATTAGTTTTGCTGTACAAGAGAGGATTTTCGTCTTTTGCTCTGAATCATCCTGGATTAACCAAAAGTTCTTCTAATCGACTACGTCTCATCATAATGAACATTTCACTTAAAAACTTAAAAAAAAAATAACTCGCCAGACGGTTACCTTTTTTCATATCTATATCCTTTGCTTAAAAATGAAGACTAAGACACGAGTTTTGTGGAAAAGAAAAAAGCCCTTTGTTAGATTTGAAGCGATGACTTAAGTCTCTTTCTTATTGGAAGTTTTTTGCTATATAGTTTCTTTTGGAAAAAAAAAAGGCACGGCCTCCTGGACTAATTAGGATGGAATCAATTGCACAAGATCAAGTCCATCAAAGATCACTGTGAAGAGATCTGGAACTTGTCTGAATATACCAGAAACTTGTATGGAATAAAGTGAATTGTAATTAAAAGAAACAGTCATGAAAGAAGATAATAAGATAAACCATAATTAACTAACAAGAAGCCAATAACTCAGGTGATTCTATATGCAGTCAACTTTGCTATCACATATTGCTTAAACTTGTTAATTTAGTTGTGTTATAGCTGCTCGTTAACGCATTATTCTATTGCAGTATGTGGCTATACCCTTTTGTATACACTTCTCTTCTACTTTTTCTATCCATTTTTCATTTTCACTCTCAGCACTAGGCATTTCTTCACTTGAAAGAGTTCAATATCTTTTGATCGGTAAGTGTCCTAGGCTTTGTCGACTACGCTGCCCAGATGAATTTCCAGCAATTCTAGAAAATGTGAAGTTGTTCTACTATCCTTCTCGGTTTCTTCAGTTTCGTTAGCCTCTAATGTTCTTGGAGAAGTTCCTTCTCAAGATAACCGGTTCATCATTTAAGACTCTATTTGTACATTTTTCAACTAGATGTTTTGAATCATCCTGACTAAATTCTATGTATTTGTATCATTTCTGGTTCACAAATTATATATCCTGTATTTTCAGAACTAGTCTTCTTAAAATGTTCGAATTTTGTGACATCCAGACTTTGTTTGCATCGACGTTTCACAGATCAAAAGTTCCCTAGTTGACCATTATAGTGATTGATGTGGCTTTTTAGTGGCTGGTAACTCATTGTAACTAGAAGTTTTGATCATTTTCTTGCCAGTACAAGCCAAAAGCCCAAAATCTTGGCTGTGCATACTGTCTACTCTTAAAGGTTACCTTTTTTCAGTCTTAATCCAGCAAAATGAGATGTACAATTATGTACATAGACAGATGGGTCAGAACCAGCTAACCCTTGGGCCCTTCCTCACGTATTTATAGTATTCATTTATTGGCTTCAACAACCCACTGGACCAGTGGTTCGACCCATTAACTCGGGTAGGCAGTGAGTTACTATTAAAAATTTTGTTTCAGTATATTGTTACGGTCACCAAAATTAATTTTTTAAAATATTGGTCGAAATATATTAAAATATTTTGAAATATTAACTTGGTATATTCATTGAAATATAACAAAACATTTCGAAATATTATGGAACACCTCGAAATATTAAAATTTCAATTCTATCACTGATTCGTTTCGTTCTCCTTAAAAACAAAAATATTTAGAATATTTTGACCGTTTTAAAACGATATTTTGATTATCGGCGGCGGTGACAAGGATCCATATTCCCTCCAATATTTTTTTCCTACAATTATATTTTAAAGGTAAATCACCTGCTGGCTACTACACGAATTGTTGACTGAAATTGAAGGAAAAAATATTGGAGGGAATATTGCTCCACAGTGACACACCATACTACATGAATTAGAGTCTTTGAGACAAATTTTTTGCAGTAACATATTAACAGTGCTTACCATTGCAAAAAAACGTGTTTTGATGAATTTTTTTTATGGCGATAATGCAGTCATAAAAAATTTATTTGCTTTCGCAAATATTATTTGAGATTGTAGTTGCCGCCACAAAGACTTTTTGAGACTATACTGATTGTGACGAGACATGTCATTACAACACCTTGTCGTATTAAATAAAGTCTCAAAAAAAAATTGTGACAGCACCATCCCGTCTCAAATAGTATTTATAGTAACAAATAAACCTTTTATGATAATCCTACTGTCACAAAATAAAAAAAAAAACTTTTTAAACACTGCTGTCGCAAAAAACTTGTCTAAAAAATCCCTAATTCTTGTAGTAGGCATTGATTTCAGGTGATTCTCCTTCTTGTTAATTTGAGAAGGCTTGTTTTTTTTTATCCTATTTGTCCCTTCTTCTTCTATTTTTTTTTTTTTTTTTTTTCATTTTTCAGTGGTATCTTATGATATCTCTTATATTTGAAGGTAGGGTAAATGGAGAACGGTGAAAGAAAATAAAGGGTGAAGGGAATGTATTTGTAGATTTGAGGTTGGAACTATTTTTTAAGTGCCTTTAACTCTGTCTGTCTATACTTCTTTCCTAGTTTCTTTGCTGTTAACTGTTTTTCCTTTCTTTTTTACGTTCTCGAGTTTTCGAAAGACGTATACTTCCCACTAACACCTCAATAATATGGTAATTAATCTAGTGCCTTTTGTTCAAAGCTTGGCTTCTAATTTTGCCTACTTAACCTTGAGCTTTGATTTTTCATGCTAGTGAAGAAGATTAAACAAGAGTTGATAGCATAATTTAGCCAAGAGTTTGGTTAATAAGTTTGGTGAACATGAATTCACAGAACTAAACAGTGGACTAATGAAGCTGCTGGTTTGATTAACATCCCAAAATCAAAAGCGACACCCAAAAGATAAATATTTTTTCGAAAACTAAAACGATGTCAAAAAGAAACCATTATCTGTTAGGAAGAGTAAGCTTCCACAATCTACCAACTACAACATTTTTCGAAAGACAAGCATACGATAAGAGAACCATAGCAGGGAAGGAATTTTTGGGTTATGTGAGAAGGTCTTTGGTTTACTTCGACTGTAATTGGGTAAGTCAATACCCGAACCTATTTCCCTTGCAGGGTGATGCTTCTTTGCCAACACCAAAGTGCAAGAGCAAGGATCATGTAAGGTGCGTTCTTGACTTCTTCTCTTGGTCACACATCCAGAGTAGACACAGCCTTCTTTGCTTTCTTATTCCCTTCCCTTAAATTCAACTGCAATAAATTGAGAGGAATAAAAAGGCGAATCAAAGTAAGATTTTCTCAATCTAGGCACTAAACAGATATGAAGTATATTATCTGCATTGGGTAGTAAAGCGATAACTCATTAAGAACTTCAGTCTTGAAATCTTTTAACTGCACCATTTTTCTGTGATTTCAATTATTATATGTTAGGGCTTCACTGCAGAAGGGGGAGACCTTTTGTTGATTTAAAGATGGAACATTACTCTTAAATCATTACTCTTGAATAGCTCCAATCAATGAGCTCTTGTTTAGTTGCCTGAGTATTATTAGTATGAATGAAAATTCATGAAAATTTTTGTCTTCCAGTCTTCTCTGGACCGAAAGCTAATAAATGAAATACCAAACAAATACGTAAAACATCATATAAATGAGGCAGAATGACTACATAAACTTGCTTCTACAACATTAATCGTCTGTGAATGTGTGTATATGTATATGTATAGATAATGAACTTCCCATATTGAAGTTTATGTAACGTGAACTGGTAAAACTTAGCTAAGAGGAAATCATGCTTGGAAAAGTTAAAAGGAGAAGTTTGAATGACTCACCACTTTTTGGTTATGCATTTTCGCATGCTACTGCACCTTTGATCCTTTCAACTGTGCACTTGATGAGGCTGTTAACGGTTGCTACAGATCCAAGAGAAAGTTTTGCAGTTGGAACAGAATCAACTAATATCTGAAATGCAACAGTCAGTAGCGATCCACCAGACCCAACCTCAGGAATTCCTCCTCCCTGATGTCCAGGTCCATCGGGGAGTATAGCAAAGCCAGATGGTAGGAGGGCAACGTAGTCTGGGTCACCACCACTTAAGACCACATTCATTGCTACGATATCAACAGGAGCGTATACAACATAAGAGCCTGTAGAATCGGTGCAACTCTCTTGTAATATCAGCATGTTGCTCTGGCTTGAGTTAGCACTCTACAGTATATTTGGCAGTTAAAAATGTGTTAGTGCGACAAATTAGAGTAATGAGCCATGTGGCATGATTTAAAGCTTACATTAACACGCAGTAGAGAGACACAGTTGCCTGGGTCACGACCGTTAGCAATATGCGCCATTTCTTGAACTAGACCACCATTTGAAAGTATGTCCCACTGCACAAGTACAAGAAGGTGTATGATCTGCTAAGCTAAAAGATTAATTTCAAATAAGAAGACAGTGTTTATGCTTGACCTTAATAAGTTTCATTCTTTGACATTTTAGATCTCATCCAAGTGTTGGGAAAGCATGTTTGCATCAAGCTAGGATATCAAGCAGCTCAAGAGATGCAAATATATATTAATTCTTTCATTCAACATTTCTGTTCCATCCTTCAACACCAAGTTAAAATGTATCCTAGTGTCTCTGGTTGGTTATGTGATTGAATTAATTAGAGTTTTTTATGGTACATATATTGCTTATATTGTTTAACAGTACCCGACCCTAAATGTCCATTGTGTATCTTTTTTTTATGCTAGCAAAGTGATACTATAGGCTTCCTATACTTTCTATTAATAATTTCGATTGCAAGTAATGCTCCGTCTTCAAGTCAAATGACCACCAGGTATATGTGAGAGATGAAATTCTTTAATGAAATAGTGTCAATCAAATCCAGTACCACACTATGCTGTTCTAAGAAAGGAGTGAATGGGAACTGGGAAGCAAATGCTTATGTAGTATCCACTTGATACCTCATTTCGTGAGTTCTCATCGCGAAGAAAATCAAAAACTCTCTTTCTTGGAACCGGAAGCCAAAATGAAGTCGCGGCACTTAGCACAATACCAGGTGGCCTGCCTGGATCATCCATACTCTTTCTGGTCATGACCCTCACATCATCCGAACCACTTTCTGATAAAGTCGTCCATGTGTGTGCAGTTGAAGCGCCAACACCAGTGCAAAAGCTCATCACCATTCTCTCAGCTAGCTTCAACATACTTTTCCTCCCTTCTGGAGATGTTATGACTGCATAGTCAGCAAGGTTATGTTAGAAAGGGAAGGATAGTTCATCTCAGCTGAAATTTTGATACTATTTGCAAAACAGTTTTGCTAAAAGAGAGACAAGAAAATTTAATACCACCAACATCTCCGGCTGAAATGTTATTAGCCATTGCACTTGCGAATCTTTCACACTGTCGATCCAATGTGGCCACCCAACGTTTCGCCCCAAAAGCAAGACTTGAATTAACGAGCAGTCTGTAGAGATTGTGAACAGCTATATCATCCACTTCCACATGCTCAACCCATGTAACCTAGGAAATGATAACACCATTAATAGTATTTAGTGAAAGTTTATGTTTATCACGCTTTACCAGAATTGCAGGATATGTACCTTAGAGTAACCATTGGGCAGTTCTTGAATCAAACAACCGGATGGCCTTCTTCTACACCGGGATGCTGAAGTAGGGTGCAGATTGTCCAGGGAAACATCGACCACAGCCCATGTTCCATCAGAATGTTGTTTACAGTACCTTGCAAAATAGTTCTCGCGAGTTGGAACATGCGGTGAAGGGACCTGGAACTCAGCTGTCATCTGAAGTAGCAGTCAACAAGTTAGGTACATCCCTTGAAACTAATTGAAACACTTGAGGATTGTTTTGTCTAAGAATAGGCTTGCTTGATTGTAGTACACAGTTGCAATATTTGAAGAATCATTAAGGGCTTTTTGCATACCACTTGCAGAGCTCCATTGTAGTTCCCTGCTACTCCCGTAGATAAGACCTCCAAGGTCATTGCTCTTGAAATGATACCGGAGAACACATTTGACCATTGATTCTGATAACAATCATCATATAAGAAAAGATTATCCCACTCCACATAAAATTCCCGATGATGATACCAGAAGATATTATTATATCAAAACTAAGCAGTGAACAAAATTTTGTTTAGTTTTGAACAAAACAATCGAAACATTTCCGAATCTTTTGGAATCAAAATTTCAAATCTTTTATCTGCTTGCATTGTGCTTCAGAAGCATTTCCCGTATTATTCCCGAAACTTTTCCATTTTCAAGCTTACTAAAACTATGCAGCGAAACGAAATTTTAATTGTAACAAAAAATAAAATTTTGATCCTTCAAAATAAGAAATTCTTACCACATCCATTAAAATTTCAACTAGGTTGATATGATTCATAATAACAACTGCACATTCTCTTGAAGCTTCGGATTTTGATCCCAATGGTTTTGGTCCGATCCCTCGAGGAAAAGTCCGCAAGTACTCATCCTCACTTAAAGTCTCAGTAAAGTTATCTACGCTTGGCATCCATAAGGGCTCACCATCTTGGGCCATTCTGATCAGTTCCTCCATTGCTGCAACAGCCAGCTCAATGATCAATGGCTTGTCTGCCTCAGTAAGGCCCGACACCGACCGAAGAAGGTCACCCGCTCCATATATCTCCCCTACCAGGTCCGACTGTGTTCCGAAATTGCCTACTCCAAGATCAAGTGACCGTGGTGGTCCATGAGGAGGAAGATGAGGATATGTGAGCATAGGCTTCCCAACATATTTTGCAGCAATTCCTGATATTCTGTCAATCTGGAAACAGTTTTCAATTTTTAGTTCAACTAGAGATGTCACCAACCACGGTTAATTGTGTTAGAATTAGGGTTTTATCCAGTTTGATTCAGACTTCACCTAAAACTTAAGGTCAAGCTGAATTCGTTTATCCAGTCTTCATATATGAGCCCTATTATTATATTTTATACCAAGCCAACGTGGGATTCTTGTCTATTCTTTTTTTTTTCTTGGTTCAATCGTAAGAGGTGTTTAGATCAATTTAAATCAATTTACGTACATCTCAATTAATTCTCTTTTCGATTTATTCAAAAATTGACCATCCATACCAGAACTAAGGTTATCCATTAGAAATAATTCTCTCATGGCTTGATTTCAAGAGATTGTCAAGATTTGAACTCCGAATATCTGTATTTACAATTCGTACCTATTATTATTTAAATTACCCTTTCTCTTCTCAAATACGGGTTTCTAACACTTCCTGTCACATGTGAGTCATATTATTTATTAGAGGAAACACTTGCAAGTTTCCCCTTGCTCGTATTATTGGTGTAGCGCTCACTAGCTACCCATATTGTTCATTTTTTTTTTCTCTTTGTTTGATATAACATTTGTTAGCTACATTTTTTTTTAGAATCCACACTCATACAATTCGATTCAAACCCGTCCCCAATGCTTAAACTCAAACTCTAAGTGGTTTGTTCCAATCATTATATATTAATTTTTATTATTCTCTTCTCAATTTGGGATTGTAACAATTTGAACTGCAATGAAAACACACACACACCCAAATCAAATCACCCTTGTCTCTTATTACTGACCTCCTCTCTTAAACGAGCATTCTCAATCCTCAAATGCTGCTCGTCAAATGACATCTCCCCAATAGCAGCTGGTCCTCCACAGTTTGGACAAGCAGCATTACTAAGGGCTTCTTTGTACCGTATGTTCTCCGCTCGAAGCTTCTCATTTTCAGTCCTCAGCTGTGTGTTCTCATGGCGTTCATGTTGAGACTTCAATCAATGCAAAATGAATCAAAAGCTTATTTAATAGTGAAAATTTTGGTAGGTAAGTACTTACAATCAAAATAAGCTTACCTACAAAATGTACTTAGAAAATAATATACTGCCTAAAATGCATTGTCTACTAGAGTTACCTTCATTTGTGTGCGCTTGTTTTGGAACCAAAATTTTATTTGCAATGGCTCTAACCCTAATTGTCGGCCGAGTTCCTTCCTTTGCTTATCATCAGGATGAGGGCACTCTTTGAAGAAACTGCAAAACAATGCAAGTACCAATTGTGAGAGAGAGGAAAAAAAAGGGAAAATCATCCCGAGAGTACTAAGAAAGAATAGTTTACTCTCTGCCTTACTTTTGAACATTTATGAATGTACATATGGAAGAATAATATGAACGCTTACGCTTCCATTTCTTGAATTTGATGCTGAGTATGACGATGATATCGCTTCCTTTTGTTTCGTTGATTGGGATTTTGATCATCACCTGAGGGGGCTTCCATGATATCGGTGCCCGATTTGCTCTCAAATTCATCATCTCGTATCGTATCCATCTCATTTTCGGGTGATTTGTGTGTCGTATCCAGGAAATGATGGTGACTATCAAACATGTCTGGCTGAAACATGTTGACTGATTTATAGGGTGGTTCCAAAACTACAATTTTGCAATCTACAAAGGAAGGATAGAAAAAAAAACATCTCATAAACAAGAAGTAAGAACACATTGTAAACCTACCAAAAGTTGGTATAATATTGATTACACAAATTCTACTCAGTAGCGAAAAAAGAAAGCTTTAAAGAAATAGAAGAACAAGAAGACCTAATGCAGATAATTTATCTATATATATATATATATATGCATAGAAGCAAAAAATTACAAGTCCAAGTTGAAAAGCATGTGTTTAGTTCTTCTTGGAGAGAGAGAGAGAGACCAAAGATTTTGCTTGAAATAATTTTTTTGGGTATGTAAGCTTGAAATATTATATATAAATGTAAAAGCCTAAATAGATCTCTAAGGCATCCAACACTCTCAAAAAGTATATAAAAGAAGATGATAGGACAACGACAAGCCCAAGAGTTAATTTTACTGAATGTATATTTGGTCCTCACCTGATTGAGCTTCAGGGACATACGACGAGCCAGAAGCTTTTTATCAGCAGCCATAGATCCATCACCCACAAGCCCTAAAAGAGCACATCCATAACCCACAAACCCTATATCTCTCTCTCTCTCTCTCTCTCTCTCTCTCTCTCTCTGTCTAGTTTTTTTTGGGTTTGGCCTCTTAGAAGCTAGTGCGTTGAGTTAAATCAAATCTCTGGCAGTATCTGAGAGCCCTAATAGTAATAAGATAGTTTACATGTAAAAACAAAACCCGAGACGACAACGTTTTTGGGCTTTCAAACAAGACTTCTACACTGTCTGTCCTTACGTGCCAAATGAGTAAAATGAGAAAAATTGGCAACAAGGAGTTGACAAACTGTGAACTGGGTCTGTCTCTCTCTCTCTCTGTGCAAAATATAACGGATAAAAAGTTAAAGATTGCAACTTTCACAGCATGGATAAAAGTGGTGTTTTAGGAAAGCTTCTCAGCCTTAGACCTAGAAGGAAAATGGAGGGTTAATTTACATACTATAGTAACCTACTGCTCTTTCAGTTTTGAAAGAAAAGTAGAAAAAAAAAAAAAGGATAAACTCATAAACCTGTTATAGTAACTTCCTGGTCTGCGGTTTTAGAGAGGAAAAAAGGCAGAAGTATGTAGGATCAACATGTTATGGTAACTTGCTGGTCCTTGAACTTTGAGATAAAACGCAAATCCACCCTTCTGAGATTAAGAGAACAAAGGGCTAGATCTGGTTTTCAGGCTAAAAGCTCGTCGGGAAACCACTTTTTGGAGAGCTCAAGGAGTGTTTGTCAGTGGGTGTGGTGATTGATTGACACCATTCTGGTGAATGGAATTTAAGAAGGATTCTGAGATTATGCTGAGTGAGAGAGAGAGAGAATGAAACGGACGAGGAAAAAGAGGAGATAAACAAGAGAGAGAGAGAGAGAGAGAGAACTGTGAAGAGGGTGAGAAGGTGAAGAGGGGAGGAAACAGGTGGAGAGAAGATTGGCAGCGAGGAGTTATTGCAGAGCATATAGAGAGGGTGCGAAAGCATTTATGGAGGGGGTGGAGGGGTGTTGTTGCAGAGGTGAGAAAAAGTTGGCATCTCATGTTTAAATTTGGTCCATTGTAATAGTAGTATGGTGTGAAACCACTTATGGCGTCTTAACTGAGCTCACCTTTCACTCACTCAAATTGTTTTAGACTTTTCCTTTTCTTTTTAGTTAAATGGCTAGGAGTTTTAGGGTCAATTCATATGTCAGTTTCATTAATTCTTTGTCTGATTTGGTGAAAGAAAACTTACTCATCCTAAATTAAAATATTTATAAAATATAAATCCCTTGTAATCTCACCACAAATAAATGTCAAAATTTGATAAATGATGGAAAGAACCACAGAAAATTCATTCAACTTTAATCCCCTAATTAAAGATAAGTGAGTAGGCTATAGAATGTCAAATAGAGTGCATCCGGCTCTAAATAATAACTATGCTTATTTGTTCTATCATCTACTTGGTCAACTAACCTAATAGGAAATTTTTCGGTCAATGTGATCGAATTTAGAGGTCTTTTCTTTCGCAAGAGTTGCAGAAAAATTGATTATGAAAAATAGGAGTTGATTATTATAATATTTTTGGAAACATTTGAAAGGTTAAAATAAAGTGATTGAACATAAATTAATTAGTGTATAAATTAATTTTCAATCAATTAACAAGCTTATCCTAATATCTTAAATGAATTTTTTCGTGGATAATTAAATTATGTGGAAATCTCATGGACACATAGTGCCTAAAAACTTTGAAGCACATTGATTCTGCTCTTTTCATATGTAAAATACCCAAATAATGATGTGACAAATTTTTTTTGAAATAAATACACTTTTGGCTCAATTGCACATCAAACCCTAATTACTGTTTGCGTTGCTTTGTTTCTTAACACTTCTTTTTTCCTTTTTTTTTTTTTGCTATTATCCTTAACACTTCAATGAATCGAAGGTAGAATCGATAGTTGTCATCCAAATTGGCCCATCTTCTTTGGTAAATTTTTTTTTTAAAAAATTTTATACCCTTTTGTTACATCATGTTCCTCGAACATGACTATTTCCGTGAAGAAGTTTAGAAGTTAATTACGGCTTGGACATTTTAAAAAAAAATTGAAACTTATGAGAGTGGTATATTTGGCAAGCGAGGCATTAAAGTGAGATTGAGCGTATATAAATACTAGTTACTCATTAGGATGCGGATTACCATTCCAAAAAAAAAAATAAAGAAATTAATAAATATCCAAAAATATGCGTTGGTATGTATCCTTATTTATAATGAAAGTTTTCTGTATAAATTGATTACATTAAAAATTTTTACTATTACGATAAAATTTCATGTGTACATGTAAAAACACGCATTCATACGTGTGCACGCATATAGATGACGTGGAGAGAAAATGAGAGATTATGTATCTATATGCAGAAATTATTTCTTTTGTACTATGGCTTGCATAAGTAGGAATGTGACACAATTAGGTAACATTAAAAAGTGACTTGTGTAGTAGCCTTCTTGTTTGATGGTATCCTCATTGGTCCCCATGGTAGAAGGTGTTCGGCTAAAGGGTCTATTTATAAAGGCTCTTTCATAGTAGTTGGGTCACCCTCGTTGTTTTGAATTTGTGGTTTCAGTTCTTATTCGGGTCAAGCTGTATAACCTTAGAATAAAAAAATCTTCTCTGTCAATCAAATCTAATACAATTAGGTCCTGATGAGTTAAAAAAAGTAAAGTTATTGATATCTAAAAATTTAACCTATTTTATTGACCTAAAGATGTGATAGCTAATAGCTCGAGAGAGAGAGAGAGAGGAGAAGTCCTACCCAACCCACCTCACTATACCTCTTAAATCTCGAATTTTAAACTCAAGAGGAAGTTGTTGTGAGTTAGATCACATAGAGTGAGAGCAGAGTCAAGAGCGAGAGGGCAAAAACAATAAAATTTAAAAATATTTGAGAGAGTGAGCCCCTTGAAAGCGTCACATTGTATGTATCAAAACAAATATTTACCCATAAAAATTAATGAAAATAAAATATAAAAAATTAAATGTTATGCACAACTATGTGTATGGGTCAATATATATTAAATTAATTTTTAAATATATATCAAAATATATATGTCAAAAAATATATATAATCAATATATATTAAATTAATTTTTAAATACATAAATTGATTATAACGTTTTGAAATAACAATATCATTCTAATTTGATATGTATCTTTATATATAGGTCAGTACTTTTTAAATAAAAATTTATGGTATAATGAGTAAAGATATTAGTACGCAAGAGCGCGAATTCACGAATTTTGTAAAATAAGAATGTGAATGCGTGCACTGAGTGTCAGCTGTTTGAAGGCTTAAAATTAAATACTTTAAACTCGTTTGATAACCTAAAATTTATACCACTTAATATTTTAAACACTTTTTAAAAATATGTTAAAATTTTAAGTAACAAATTACCTACTNCCTAAAATTTATACCACTTAATATTTTAAACACTTTTTAAAAATATGTTAAAATTTTAAGTAACAAGTTACCTACTTATCACTTAATACTGAGCATGTTAGTAAGAATTTTATCAATTCCTCATATGAACAAATATACCATTCAATGCATTTTACATTCTTAACTTTTCAATACCCATTATCCACCACCATTGTGCTACCGCTGCCACTACCACCACCAATATTGTGTCGTCGCCATAACCATTACTATTGTGCTTAAGTCATTGCCACCATTATGTCACCGCCACCACTACCATTATGCCACCATTATCATTTATGTCGTTGTCACCACTATTATTATGTCATCGCCACCATTGTGTCGTCATCGCTACCGCCATCACTACTTACACCACCATTGTGTCAATGTCACTACCACCATCACCACCACCACAATCGCCAACACCCCCACCGCCGCCACCTTCACCATCACAATGGTGGTGGTCGTAACAAGATAGTTGTAGAGAAATGGTTAAAAAAAAAACAAAATTAAAATAATAATAATTTTTAGATTTCAGCTAATTGTATTTGTTAAATAATTTAATTTAATTCAATACTTAAATTTTATTTGATATTAAATAGTCTGCGAATTAAAAAATTTAACATTCAAAACTAAAAATTCAGTATTTAATTTTAAGTGTTTAATTTTCAATTTTATCAAAAAATCACCTAAATTTACAAGACATTTAGTATGACTTGCCATTAGAGTTACAAATAAGGGTCCGTAACGGACAGGGGCCTAGCTATGGTTGAAAAGGTCAATGGAATGTCAGTCCATGGGTCGATGTTAATGGGTTTTAAAGGATTGTCCATTGGGTCAGTTTTACTGAGTTATTAAAGGATTTTTTTAGATGTGAGTACAATTCTTTAGATTTATTTAAGTAAAAGTGTACGAATAAGTTGTTTACTATATTAAGTATAATTTTTATAAAATATTTTGTATTTAGATACAAAATTCAAATGAATTAAAATTTTTTTTACCTATACCCTCATTTAAATTATGCAGTCAACATTGACAGTTATTTAAGAAAACAAATATGTCAAAATTAACAATAGTACTGGGAGGTAAAATAGGGGGCATTAATCATCAAAACCCTTTTTCTTCGGCAACAAGATTCTATGGCAATGAGATTTGATTAGAATTCTACAAATTATATGTAAATAAACACTGAATTTTTTCCCAAAAAAAAAAAAAGAGAGAGAATTAGCCAAGATGTTTTATTAGATATTATGTATTGTTCATTATAGGGATGTAGGGAAAAAAGAACTTCTTTGTTTTTTTTAATGTGTGTAATTATTTTTTAATGGGTGTAACTGTTTTTTAATTGATGTAACTATTTTTTTAACGGGTGTAACTATTTTTTTAATTTGTGTAACAATCACAATTTCATACAATTGTTAAGGTATGATGGTGTAACGATGCTGCGATACTAAATGCTACAACTATTTAGTTTATGTAAACAACTGAATAACAAATTTGGTTGGTGTCATTATTTTATGTAACTGTTTGGTTTATTAGAACGCATGAGTAACTGTTTGGTGTATTATAAGACAATTGTAACTGATTGATGTAACTAATTAGTGTAATTGTGTTATTGTAAT